CCACTTCAGCGCTTCAGCGCTCAGAAGCTGGGCTTCCGGGCTCACAAAGGGCTTCAAGGCTTGGAGTACAAAGCGCTTGGGGCCGGAAGCTCTGCAACAAAAGCCTCACGACGCAGCTGCAGACGGTCTTTTGCATCTTGCTACTAAAGACTCTGGTAAGACTGTAAGATAGTATAGGAGTTTATTATGTGGTTGATTCCTTGGCTACACAATTTCTTGTGGATGAATGGACGTAAATAGTCAAATGCCATGGAGGGATGCCTCATGTGATTTCTTCAAGATACACGAAGGACAAAACTGAAAAGGATCGAGCTACACTTCCACTGGGGCCAGCTGGCAACGGAAGCTTCTGAGGCAACATCGCCTGTGCAAACCATAGACACGTTGACGGGACTTAGGAGGCTGAAAAGGAGGCTCAACATGATTTGAAGGTTGTCCAACCTTGGTCACTTGGGATCTTGAGCCACTTGGATTCTCTTTTCGAGTTGCTTTCCAGCGCTTCACTGCTTTCCCAGATTTGCACAGTCAACAGTCTTAGGAATCATACAAAGAAATCATGTTCCTCTCAGCACGCCTGACCACATTCCAAGCTAATCCAAGAGCTGGGTGTCAATGGACGCAAATCCTGGCAAACGTTTATTCGACGCAGTGCAAAGTGAGTACAAACTGATGCAAACTGCTGGCGGAAGGAGTGCTTGCAAGAGGGGGTAGGGACGCCCAAGACTTGTGTGAGGAGTGTGGCATCGAGGAATAAGGACACGGGGTCCTTGTCTTTTCTTGCTTTTTGTTCTGCGCTTCTTCTTCTTCTTCTTTTCTGCTTCTTTTCTCTTTCAATTGAGTGTTCCACGTCTTTCTTCCGTGGCTTTCAAGGGCTAGTGAAGGCTAGAGGCTAGACATGGCTAGCGTCTAGACATCGTCCGCGGTCTGCGCTTTCCACAATTTGTATTTGGGTCCTTTTGTGACCGAGTATGAAGGCCCGCCATTGCCTCTGAAACAAGATTCTGGCGGCAGGAATTCAAACGGCCTTGGAAGAAAAGTTGGAAATTTCCGATTTGTGATGCGTAAGCAAGTCTGAACACATCACATGACATGTGTTGTCATTGGGTATTGCTTTGGGGGCTTATTTTGTGTCTTGTTTTTTGTTTCTTCGACTGAAAAAAAAGAACAACGTCAAAATCACAGTTCTCTGCCCGTATCGTTTTGCAAGGACAACTCGAAACGAGAGTCCTTGATGAAACGCTCTTGCATAAAGTAAATGTCGATAATTTTGCTAGCGACTCGTCTGTACCCTGAAGAAAAAACACCCATTAACCAATCCATGAAGCATGCAACCATGTTTTTTCCATGGCATGTCGAGTTTCTTCTACATACAGAAATGGGAAGCAAGCTCTCCAAGTTCCCCTCCGTTCTACAATAGCATAGGACCGTAGCAGCAAAGGGTAGTCCTTTGCACTTCAAGGCCCCTGCTTTGAAGCTCTTGTGCCAAGACCGCCAAGACCTGTACCTGACAAGGTGGGCGTGTCGGAGTCTTTATCATCTCACTGCGAAGAGTGAGCAAATGACCAGGAGGCACTAATAGCTCCTTGTTCTTAGTAGTAAGGCCAGGAGCCCCTAGTTAGTAGCGTCCTTGCTCCTAGTAGCGATGCACTTTGCTCCTTGTAGCTTCTTGTTCCTCGTAGAGCAAATGTGGTTCTACAGTTCTACCTGCAACATGCATGAATTCTCCTGATTGAATGCTGAAACTCACTCTGTCGCTAGTCACTGGACAATGACAAGGTTGCACGATAGGAGCCTACTACATAATGACCAATGACATGAGAAAACAAAAGAAGTCCCAAAACATGATCGATTACCCAAATTTCAGCTGTTGCCATCCGTATGCCTTTAATCAATTCAATCTGCACTCTTTCTATCAACTCCAAGTCTTCTAGAACCGTCGGAGGGAAATCCCGAACTTCGAGCCATAGAAATCCTCACGGTTCGAGCTTATTCAGTAACAAGAAGCTATTAGTAACAATAAGCTACTAGGAACAAGTGCATCGCTACTAGTAACAAGTGCCTTACTAGTAGTAACAAGAAGCTATTAGTAACAAGTGCCTTACTAGTAGTAACAAGAAGCTATTAGTAACAAGTGCCACGCTAGTAGTAACAAGAAGCTATTAGTAACAATTCAGGAGACCCTTGGCCCTTTGGTCACGTGAGCTGAAGGCTCCAAGCAAATGGTCAACCAGGTCTTCGCCAAAGAGGCGCCTTCCTGAAAACGTGAGGCGCCATGAAGACATCGTGTCATCTTCAAAGGTCACGAGTTCATGTGTCAAAAAAGCATGAGTCATGAGTCATTTTGTTTAAAGTGTCAAGAAGAACTTAGTTATATTTCAGTCTTGGCAAATGTTGGCACAATTTGGCAAGTATTTCCGAGCGGCAAACAAGGTTGCCATGAGGGCGACTAAACTGAGTGACCCGGTGACCAGCTACTCTTGTCTGCCTACTTTTGCAAGTTGGCTGTCCGGGTCACTGAAATCCCTGTAGTACATACTCCACGCTATCTGTGGGTTGCCGAAGTCTGTTGCAGGGGCAAAGAATAATAGTTCAAACAATTGGATGACCTTTGAAGCGGACAACAAAAGTGGACATCCCTTCAGTGAACATTGATGTGGGAAACCTTTGCAAACGCTTTTTCAATGCTTTTCATGTAAACAGGCCACGGGGCAATGTGTCTCCATGCCGTCAAGGAGGAGGTCCGCCAACCTGAGAGATCAAAACTGTCACCGGTCTGGGCTTTCACGACGACCGAAAGTGGAGAACTCGACACCAAAATCATGGGTCTTCAAGTGGATGAGGAATGAAACAATACGTTTTCCTTTTTGGAACGTTTTTAGAACGCCTTTAACTAAGTAGGCGCCTACTGCGCCTGCTAGGTAACCTGCTACGAGCTAGGCCGCAGGATAGCTCACGCTCGCACTGTTCATTTGGCTCCTGGATGTTTGGAAAGAAAACACATATGACTGCGAGCAACTGCCAGCAAGTGGCTAGTGTGAAATGAACTGCATTTGGCTTGAACTGAAGCACTTCCCGAAGCCGACACTTTCGAACCATTCCCAGCTCCCGCTCCCAGCTCCCGCTCCCAGCTCCCGCTTAGCGAACAGCTCCCTGCCGCTTCTCGACTTCGTCCAGGCGCCCGGGCAGACCAGGATCCGCTCGTGGACGATCCCCAGCTGGCGCGCCAGGTTGGCCGAAGCCTCACCACGGTACTCTGTGGAAGTGCTCATCACCTGCCACGGCGAAAACAAACCGTACAACGGGCATCGCTATGAACGGAGCGATCGGACGCTACGAACGTAGCTCCTGGCCTTACTACTAGTAACAAGAAGCTACCAGTAGCTCCTGGCATTGCACTTGCAAACCTGAACAGCGGGGGACGCTTTCAGAAGTCACGTACTCGAACACCTTGAACACACTACACTTACGTAAGGTGTGAAGCAGCCGTAATTACAGCACTTCGGCAGGTGCATTGTTTCACACTTCTTAGCGGACTTTGACTTCCATGACCACCTCACCGTCCTGCTAAAATGAACCTAGACCCTTACGCCCTGTGTGGTGCTGTATCTGATGAGTGTGAAGGTTGAGCATTTTGGTCTTGGGCAAGTTCATCCCTCGCGCCAGTTCTGTTTCCTTAGACTTAGTGAGGGCATTTATTCAAAAAGGCATTCGACTACTCTTTCCACGCAAACCACTTTTGAGGCATCATGTCCCTGCAAAAACTCCAAATAACACCTGCACCACTCATGCTTCCGCCATTACTTAAGCTTCCCTAAAAATCTAGGAACCAAATGAATAGTGTGAGAGCTATCCTGAGCTTCTCTCTCCCGACGGACTCCCTTGCTTCGCTACCTACCTCTTCCTCCCAAACGTGCCGACCGAACTCCTCGGACGGTGGCGAAGGAATGGACCATGACCAACCTGGGCGCTTTCATGGCGTATCCCGAGAGCTGGTCGATGAGTGGAGAGAAATAGAGCCGATCCGATCGAGTTTTCCTTTTAGGCCGCTCTGCCCCGCATTGGACTTGAGAAAGTAGGCGCCTTAAGCTCCTACATTTGATTCCTAGAGTTTTTGAACTCTTGAAAGGATCTGAGTGTCTTTCTCTAGAAGGAGATGCCCTTCAGATGCAAAATATCTAGCTGTTTCACACACTTCCTAGATCAAAGCCAAGAGTGGAAGAACCTGACAAGTTGCTTATTGTTCAGTTGAACATGATGCCAACACATCATTCAACACTGCCGGCCTTGGCACTCGATCAAAAACACAGGCTTCCAGGCTATTCAAGAACTGCCGATGATCCATCAAAGAGAGGGAATCACAATGAATCACAGAACTTGCTGCTTTTTCATGACCATGAAATAACCTAATAGCAATGGCCTCCAACCTACTAGGAGCAAGGACGCTACTAGGGGCTCCTGGCATCGCTACTAGGAGCAAGGACGCTACCAATGGCCTCCAACCTACTGGCGATGGCGATGGCCTCTGCAAAACACCTTGTAGCTACTAGCGTGGCACTTGTTTCTAATAGCTTCTTGTTACTACTAGCGTGGCACTTGTTACTAATAGCTTAATCCAAAAAGGTCCCACAAAGCCCGCGGAATCCGGAACTTGGTGCCCCACTGGCCCCTCTCGGTCTGAGCGTCCCAATACATCCGTCCTGGACGTGAGGAGTGAGCTTTATCCTGAAGCATCCCGTGTTTCATCCTAAGCTCCTTGTTACTGGTAAGAATGCTCCTAGTAGCGATGCCAGGAGCCCCTGGTAGCGTCCTTGCTCCTAGTAGCAATGCCCTTTGCCCCTAGTAGCGTTCTTGTTACTAGTAAGCTCCTTGTCACTACAGGTGAAACTATTCCCAGTGAAACGATTCCCAAGGAAGCTTCTAGCAACTAGACAGCTTTATTACTATTAATAATCCTATGTCCTTTTTCTGCAACCAATCTGCCATCTCATCCACTGCTCTTCTTTTTTTTCTGCCGTAGCAAAAGCTGTGAGTATCATCCAGGACCATGAGGACACATCAGCCGCACAAAGACGTGCCCAAGAAAAGAAAGAACTGAATTACTTCCGGGACGCACCCACTACACAAGGATACGCCCCAACCTCGAGCAACCTGAACGCCCTTGCGAAAGCCCTTGCCAGCTCAGCGCTTAGAGGACAAAGTGCGGGAGAGCCAATCCAAGCCTTCGTAGAGGCCGTCTCCTGTGGTCGCACATGCGGATTGGATGAACCACTGGCGATGACGCAAATTGTGAAGGCCGAGCTTCTCAGTCACCTCTGCCGCTGTCATTGCTTGAGGCAGGTCCTGCTTATTGGCAAAGACCAGCAGCACGGCATCTCTCATTTCATCTTCGTTCAGCATCTTCGTCAGTTCTTCACGAGCATCTTCGATACGATCACGGTCATTGCTGTCCACCACATAGATGAGCCCATTGGTGCCTTGATAGTAATGGCGCCACAAAGGGCGGATCTTGTCCTGGCCTCCCACGTCCCAAACGGTGAAGGACCTGTCTTTTCTTCGACAAACAAATAAAGAACACACGCGAGAAAAAACGCGATAAAGAACCCAAGTATGATTACCGAGACAGTGCTCAAATGACCAAAAAGTCATTGTTTCGTCGAAGAATGTGCAAAAACTATGCTTGTTTTTCTTTTTTCGAACCAAAAAAAGGGCATCGAATGGATTTTGAGGGACAAGTTCTTGTACTCGACAGTCTCGACGTTGAAGCCGATCGTTGGGATAGTAGTGACCACCTCACCAAGCTTCAGCTTGTACAGGATCGTTGTCTTACCTGCGGCATCCAAACCCACCATCAGGATTCGCATCTCCTGCTTCCCAATCATTCGCTGCCATATCTTGGTGAAGGCAAGACCCATGGCGACTTACTGCGTGTTACTGGCAAAAACCTCTGCAACCTGTCTTGAACCGCAAAGCACAGTGATGCACCACTGGCTCCCTGAAGCAAGCCAGTTATTGCGAGCTACCAAATGATCACCACGTGCAAACACATCAAAATGCGAGCGCCTGCAGGCCCGATGTTCCCAAGGTATTGCCAAGCATAACCTAGCAAAAGGGCATGGTGTTTCTCACGTGTGCTTGCTAGCATGAACAAGCAACATCGGCAAGTTCTTTGGAGGCCATCACTAGTAGGTTGGAGACCACCGCTAGTAGGTTGATTTCTACTTCAAAGCATTACTCTCCCGCGTCTGACCTTGACCTGAACCTCTCTAACTGTGTTTCATGGCCTCCAGAATGACAGTGCTTTTCCGTGAATCCCGAAGCTGTGCCTATATCAAAGCCTGCCATAGAAAGGACATACTGACCTGAATTGGCGCCAGAGTTTCAATTGCTGTCTTGGACGTCACCCTGATTTTACTACAAACTAGAATGATTTTAATCAGAGGGGCTTGCAAAAATGACTCCCACTTTTTTTTGACTCTCAGTTTCTTGTTTCTGACGCTATTGATACTCAAGAAGAGGGGGAGGAAGAAGATGAAGATGTTCTCAGGAAGAAGAAGAAGATGCTCTCAAATTTCTTCATTTAAGATGCTAAAGCTGAGGGGGGAGGAAGAAGAAGAATAAAGTGATGATGATGATGATGATGATGATGATGAACACAAGTCCAACCCAACCCCCAACCTCCAACCCATCACCCAACCCACAACCCAAAGCTTCACGCCAGCTGGTGGAGAGGCAAGTCCTGGCAATCACAGCGTTCAGTGATGAAACGTGTTATCACTAAAAGGGATCCGCTCCGCACAGCTCATTTTCACCCTCACATCGACATGTCATCGCTTTCCGCAGTCACATCGGCGAGACAAATCAGGTTGAAGCCGCACTGATTGAATCTGATCTCTTCGTTGGGACCTCGAATCTCGAATGTGGCAAAGAAAACATGTGACAAAAACATGTAACAAAAACAACTGTTGGACAAGGGGCCCAAATGAAAGAGCGGTCCTTCCACCCATGGTGCAATGTGATACATCTTTCCGCCGATTGGGGCCGTGGTATGGTATCCCACATCCTGACCAGGAGCATATGTGCAGGTTGCAGTCACGATGAGAGCCACTACCTTCCCTGCCTTGATATCCATCTTGTTGAGAGTCTGAACAGCTTCCATCGCATTGCTTGATTTGCTCAGCATAGATTCACACTGGTTGTACAAGAACTCTTGGGTCTTCTCCCAAACATACCTCGAGTCAAAAACCGGACCCTTGACACAACGGAGACATGAACGACAAAGGAATGCTGTCAAGTAACTTCAGTGTCACAGAGTGCCTGATGTTCTCCAAAGTCACACGGCTATCAAAATCATCACTCCTTGGTGTCAGACTCATTCACTTGACGCACTTAAGAAATCCGACGGCCGAGTGACCCCGGCTCTTCCTGCGTCAAATGGTCTCTCCTGGATAAAGTGATCACGAAGCGCTGCAACCTGAAGAAGTACACGGAAACACTGAAAACCAAAACCAAATTCATTCAACACGACAATCATTACAGAATCTTGCAGTTGACACCTGGGCACTGCTCCATCTTGGCCAGGCATGACATGTCATCCAGCTGTCTCACCAGCAACTCAAGCATGAAGGTTTCAGCATCGTCAAGGTCAGACATGGCTCTCTAACAAGACCTGTCAGAACCTGCTCGACAAGGGTCTGCGGAGTGAGGGCAAAGATATGGCACATCAAACTCAAATCGCAGTATTTGACTTTGAACATGAAATGCTCCTTTGACATGACCGTTGAGGACCTTTGACCTGTGACTTTGAACAGCTCCTTTGACACGACCTTTGACCTCTGACTATTTGAATCTGAATCTGAATGCTGAAAAAATGAGTGTTCTTGAGGAAAAATGCTGAATCTGAATCTGAGATCGCCAACTTTTCCAACCCCAACCTCAAGATCCCAAAGGCATCATCAAGCGATGCGTTCTGTACAAATTTCCTCGCTTGGTGGATGACAGATTCAGCCCCGTGATGTCGATGCGATGCACATCCATCACATGATCAAACACTGAGAACGGGATGAGGAGGCTGACCGCATCTCCCTCCTCATCCTGCTCGGGATCAAAGTCCCAAGCCAGCACCTTTGATGCCGGTTGGAGCACCGAAGGCAACGTCAATGTCTCGTTGAGTGAGACATCGTCTGCAGGGATCCAGGCGCCGAAAATGTCCAGGACCTTCTTTTTGCGCCCGGCTCGCATGTTCATCTCTGGTGAACGTGTTGGATGGTACCACGCAAACCTTGGTTTGTGGCTGTCAATCAAACTGCTCCACCTGAAAACTTGAATTGCCAAACCGTTCAATGCCTCCAAAGAACAATCCCTGCTCTTCGCCATCGTAATTTACCAACTCCATCAAAACTCCGAGAACGATGGGCAGCGTTTGATCTTTGCCAGCCACAACACAGAAGTCGCCAGGGCCAATGAAAGCCTTCCTGGCAGGTGCTCGCGACTCGTCCAAGCCTGTCATGGTGACAAGAGAATCCTGAGGCAAGTGGCCGATGTCAGCCCCCATCGAAATTGAGTAGTAGATGTCATTTGGGATTTCCAGGGGGTCTGGCTCTCTGGCGACAAGCTGGCACGGGCCCAAATGAGCACTTCTCAAATCCGAAATCATAGTCTCCTCAGTGCATATGAATGAACCCACCCAACCAAAGATCTAACATGTCGCAATAATAATTTATCATCAAGCTTCCAGAGATGGGCCAGCATCTGGTCCATCCAAATAAGCCCGCAATTCACGAAGTTGCTCCCTTGCGACTTGGCCCGACGCTGCCAATGAGGCTTCCTTAGGCCAAGATCAGACAAAAAACTATAGAAATCACGAATCATAGCTACAAATGCCCAAGCTTCCAACTTGTCTAAGAAGTTCAAGTGCTTCGCCTTTGATTGCTCATCAAACTCATGCTTCACCAAAGGCGGTTTTGCCGTGGCAAACACGGCAACGCGGTCATACTCAACCAGCAAACGTGGTGTTGACCATGACTCATCTGACACGTATTGCCTCCACTTGACCCAAATCCCCATATTGTCCACATAGAGCCGGAGGGAGTGGACATTTCGATATCGGTGAAGCTCGATGCCATACAAGGTGCGAAGGTGAGTGAAGTCGTAGCTTGAACCGTGGTGGCTCCAGTTCATGGCAAATGCCTTCAATGACTGGGAAGAGATAGTGGCCATTTCGTCCATTGTGAAATACGTTCGCCCCCTCAACGATGTAATCAATCTGGAAAAGAACCGGTCCAGCGATCCGTGAGTGTGTCCCACCAGCGGGTATTGAAATTCCACAGCCTTCAACTCAGTGCCATTGTGAAGGGTTGCCAGCAGCCAAATGGCCCAGCATACGCATGTACTGTTCTTGGTCTCTTTCGGGGTGTTGTCGGCCCCCACATACAAGCACTGTGGGAGCCGGCCCTCTTTCATAGCGGTACGATGGAGTTGCCTCGTGAGCATTGTTGCCTGAGAGTTGGCTCCATGGGAGGCGTTCTCCAAGGTGGTGGTCAGGCAGAACTCATCCTCACCTCAGGCACTCTGCGGAGCTTGCGTGAAACAAAAGCTGCAGAAAACTGATTTTGCACGTGTATCCAAGATGCGCTTTGGGCCAGCGTAATGCACACCCACAACGCCAACAACAAAGCGCTCCCCCAGCTTGAACAACTGTGTGGCAAGCCTTGGTGGTGTTCAAGACGCTTTCTGAACAGCAGGAAAAATGACACAGTAGCAAATATTGAAATCAGTAACATATCATGAACGCATGGGAGGATGGTCTTGTTCTGGTCACACTTGTCAATTGACAAGTACCTGACAGCAAGGGTCAGATGGTCAGTGGCAATGTCGCGCATCAAAATCATTCACTGCTGACATTCACACGCCCTCAAACAGAGGTCACCAATCTTCTCCAGTTCGCCGGCACATCTCTTGACACCTTGCAATTGCCAGCCGCTGCGCTGCCTGGAAGGTGTAGTGTCTTCCTGGAACCAATCACGAATACCTATGCAATTCAAGTCAGTCAGTCACAGTCAGGCAGTGAATCACAGTCCTAATCGCTTCTTCACAGCGGTGAGAATCTGGAGTTCACTTCTCGGGGTCTTGTCCAACATGTTCTTCAGAAAGGTGCAGGCCGAGCAAGCGGTGAACATGGACTCCTTTGTTCAGCACAAATGAGAAGTCACATGGCTTATGCCTTCCGACAATCAACTTTACGGCTTCAATCGAGAATCTGATTTGGCAATGCGAACCCAAGGCAGCTCGTTGGTCCAAGCTTTGCGAAAGGTCGATAAATCCGCAGGCTTTCCATCCAAATGCCCCAAATTTTGCTCACTCCTAGGTGTGACATGGTGTGACAATTTGTATGAACATGTCACGCATCACCCTTTGGTTTCACATACTTGGATTTGCTACTGACGTTTTTTCTCAATATAGCCTAAGGTTCCTCTCAAAGTCATACTGCGAATGGTAGAAAAACTTCCTGCCCGCTGGAAGATAGATCTGGAGGCTCATCGGTGAACGCTCCCCGTGCGTTTCAGCATATGTTTCGATCCACTGTCTGCTGTCCAGGTAGCGGTGGGCCTTTGCTTGATTGCGGATTGCCGTCCAGGCAAGGGCGTCACTACGCCCAATGCTCACCACTCCTTTCTCGATCTTGTTACGAATGTTCTGCAAGGTTCCACTGGATATCCCTGTAAGCTTTTGAAACGCCCTGCTGCAAATCCTCACTCCAGCAAACTTGAAGGTCCCAGGGTTGTCCTTGACTAAGTCTAACAGCATCTGCATTCGCCTGTCCCTGGGGAGGCTGCTCCAAAGAAAGCGCCAGTTCCTGAGTTTGGTCCAAATCACAGCTCAGCTTAGATAATGTTAAACCTGGGCGTCTTTCGGCGCTTTAACCGGGCCACTTCACGATTGCAGGGTTATCCACGAAGGTGCTCAAACATTCATGGTGTTCACGGCCAACAGCGCACTCACCTGCAATGTCTTTTTCCTTGGTTGCA